CTTAATCATTTTCCCAGGAGTGTTAGGCTTATAATCTAATAATTTGTTTGAGTGATTTAAAGATTACTGTATTATGTGTCTAGAAAATTGGAAAGACATCCCAGATTAATTATCTCAAAGAATTGATGCTGAAACTGGCTAAAATAGGCTTGAGTTAGCAAACAATTACCATGTAAACAAGATTAAATCCCTTTCAGAATTCATGTTAGTTCTGCCGAGGTAAGAATGACATACAAGACAAAACCCTAAACATGTAAAGCTATCCTTCTTTGAATTCTTGTAGTCTATAGGGTTGGATTCAATTAAAAGAATAAACGGATTTGCGATTGCTTCTGGCTATATCTGTAAACTATTTGTTTCTATTATTTGGTGTTGCACACAGTTACACTTTTATCTATATGGAAACACTTTTATAGAGGCAAGCGGGAGAATAAGACAACATTGGCCTCGCACCCCACAATCTGCGACTTTGTATTTGAAATTGGAAATACATTATTAGTATGGAATGGAAAAGAATAAGATGCTTGGTTTTACTTTTATCTGACAAGGTCCTAAATTCAATTGAATTTGTGGTTCAATCAATTCTGTTCATCTTGTAAAAAAACTTTTACTTGAAAAGGTGTCACAATGATTTAATAATTTATTTAATAATTAAACTACATACTATAGTAGAAAATTTATTAAGTTTAATAATCAAACAAAATTATAATTAAATCAATGCTGTAGTTAGTAAGCTTGGGCACCATGGCTTGGGCCATGCTAATTTCCAGTGCTGAAAGTTGAACTCACATTAACGAACATTTAACCAAAATTTGCGTGACCGATAATGCAAGTTCATGCACGTATGACTGGGCATGCCTTATTCATTTCACAAGAATATATCGTTTACTGATTTGTTTACAGTCACATAAATATATCCACTTCCCTATTAAATAGGCCTAGGCCTAAGTAAATGTAATTCTTCTTTTACAAAACTTTTTTAACTTTTTTTAGCAGCTGTCAAAAATAGTAAGCCTAGTAGGACTTTGGTCCAGCGGGGCCGGGGCATAGGCCTAAGCATTACAAATACAACAATAGGCCAAGGCCTAGTTAGAAGGAAGCCTAGGCCTAGCCTACTGCAAACAGACTGTAGTACACCGTGTTCGTCCGCATATCATCGGGTGGTGCCCTAACTAGCCTAAGAATGGCCTAACTAGAGTCGGCCTAACTCTATGGTAGTAAACATTGGAGGTCAAGATCAAATCCATGTTAATTAATTTCGTTCTCTCTTTACCTAGCTTTGAAACATGCTGACTGAGGACATGAATAATAGCTTAAACAGCTGAGATTTTCGCTGTTTACGAGCGGAGAAAACCAACAAGGTTGTAAACTTTGTAAACTTCTATCCAGCCTACAGAGTGCGCTACATTATTCTATTTGGTTTTTTTTTAAACCCACACAGAAATAAAAATATTATGCAACAACTATGTGGTGAAATCTAAAAAAAATCCCTTGGAAACATTTATACAAGTCACCGTCTAAACAGATCGAATAAATTCAGTTTTCGCTGATAATATCCTTTCAACCAATGTATATTCATAACGAAATTATATTTTACTCAACAAAGACGATATATCTTAATACAGTATTTAAATCGCGCCTGGGATTACACAGGCTCCAGTTTTTCTTATTCCGTAATTAGGGTTTTCCCCTTATGATCTTGGTTTGACCATGGAGGTATTATTGAGAAGGAGATCACTCGGCAAAGCTACGCGCACGCAGTGCTCATACTGTCTCTTATACACATCTAGATGTGTATAAGAGACAGATTATTTGGTGTTGCACACAGTTACACTTTTATCTATATGGAAACACTTTTATAGAGGCAAGCGGGAGAATAAGACAACATTGGCCTCGCACCCCACAATCTGCGACTTTGTATTTGAAATTGGAAATACATTATTAGTATGGAATGGAAAAGAATAAGATGCTTGGTTTTACTTTTATCTGACAAGGTCCTAAGTTCAATTGAATTTGCGGTTCAATCAATTCTGTTCATCTTGTAAAAAAACTTTTACTTGAAAAGGTGTCACAATGATTTAATAATTTATTTAATAATTAAACTACATACTATAGTAGGCCTAGCCTACTGTAAACAGACTGTAGTACACCGTGTTCGGCCGCACATCATCGGGTGGTGCCCTAACTAGCTTAAGAATGGCCTAACTAGAGTCGGCCTAACTCTATGGTAGTAAACATTGGAGGTCAAGATCAAATCCATGTTAATTAATTTCGTTCTCTCTTTACCTAGCTTTGAAACATGTTGACTGAGGACATGAATAATAGCTTAAACAGCTGAGATTTTCGCTGTTTACGAGCGGAGAAAACCAACAAGGTTGTAAACTTTGTAAACTTCTATCCAGCCTACAGAGTGCGCTACATTATTCTATTTGGTTTTTTTTTTAACCCACACAGAAATAAAAATATTATGCAACAACTGTGTGGTGAAATCTAAAAAAAATCCCTTGGAAACATTTATACAAGTCACCGTCTAAACAGATCGAATAAATTCAGTTTTCGCTGATAATATCCTTTCTACCAATGTATATTCATAACGAAATTATATTTTACTCAACAAAGACGATATATCTTAATACAGTATTTAAATCGCGCCTGGGATTACAGGCTCCAGTTTTTCTTATTCCGTAATTAGGTTTTTTTTCCCTTATGATCTTGGTTTGACATACTCTTTTAGAATATTTGATTATTATGAATTTCTTTTAAAAAATACATATATTTACATCAGTCCCACTCATTTTCGTACTAAGCACATGTCTGTAATTATTTTCTTTATTTTTAGTAATACGCAGTAAAATAACAGGCAGCACTTTTATAGACTAACAAATATTTATTAGCACAAGCTTTCGTTCACACAGTGAACTTCTTCAAGTGACTTTATTTTTAGGTATAGGCAATATTTGTTTTTATCTGTATCCGACTTAAATCCAACACTGTTAGCCGGCTTCTTGTAATTGCTTATTAAAGTCTATTCAATATCGCAATGTTTATTCTACAACTCCTGTCATACCAACTCAGTGTACCTACTTTTCACCTTTCTTCAAATTGCCAACGTGGACAGCTACAGCAACACAAAAGTAGGCCTAACATTTTAAGTGGCTTACGACCTTGTGATTAGAAGTTCCAATTAAAAAAAGAAAACGATTTAAATTATCGAAGAAATCAATAAATAAAAGTAAAAATAGTTTTAAAGAAAACTACAGTACATTACAGGAGGCCGTGATGGTTGTTTGTTTGCGATATCGATGTAGGCATGTGTTATGTTATATGACAATAGAAAGGCATGCAAAAAGGCCAACATTAACCAACCTAATTGTTGTTATAGGTATGATAACTATGCTGTGAAATGGAGATTATTTGTTTACCATTATTTCATGAAACCTTGAGGGTCAAAACCAATATTGATTCAAAACATCAATAATTCATCCTAAAGTGACCCTCTGATTCGGTTACTCATTACAACATCATTTGAACACATTAAAGCCGATGTCACCGACGAAGAAAAGTGGACGTGGTCGGGCGTAGCTCAAAATCTCTCAAAAGTGTTCCAGGGTGTTGGGGAGGGAGAGTTTGCGAGGCGCCCATAAAATATGACTATTTAGGGATTTCAGGGCTTATTTAATCGATTTTGGAGTCTACTAATAGGCCTATGTAGAAAATACATAGGCCTATATTTTTTTTTCTCCCAAACGAATTGTGGTTTTTCTCTACGAAGGTTGGGGGGGGGGGGGGGGGGGGAAAGCTCTCCCCGATGGGGACCTTCTCCCCGCTGGCGCCAACTCTGCTCCCAGGACTATGGGGACATTGTCGGGACCAAAAAAATGTGTCACAGGAGTGTGAATGTCCCCTGAATAGTTGGCCGTAGTTTTCACTCGTTTCATGGCCGAATAGTGTGCCCTGAACGAGTGTCCCCATAGGGGTGTTCCAAAGACGAAAGTAGGGGCTGTTAACTTCATGTTTGACACAATTGCCAAGTCTTTTCAGCGAGAAGCTGGTCAGAGCAAATTACGAGTTACTTTGTCAAATTATTAAACTAGGATTGAAATCCAAAAGATAGCTTGGTGGGGGGGCCCATAAAATGCGTATGGGGATCCCGCTTGAGCCTGTATCGCCAAAACATTCCTCGTATCGAAAATGCTAAAGATAGAGGGCGCTATTTACAATTTTCGGTTTGTGAATGGTGTGTGAATTGCACTTGTGGTCCTGCTTATGTGCATACAGTATTCTATGCCACACAGTCGTGATTTGTAGCAGTTTTTTTTTTAATATGGGAAGGATTTTAAAATCTCGGATGCACCGTTAAGCATTGTCTAACGTGACGATCTCATACAAAAGTGTCACTCTAATGAAAAAAAATTCAAACATGCATACTTAACAATCTCTTTTTTTTAAGTAACAAAGTATTAGTGGGTTTTTTTTTCTATCTAAAGTACTGTGGTTTCATTTGAAACATAAGTTGAACCATTCTAAGATTTATATTATAAAAACAATAATAATAATCTTGTTTTCAAAAATGTTTATTTTAAGCTCCACTTATAAAAGTAGGACAGCAATATTTTTTTTAACAATAATAATCTCTATAATAGAGTGTATACAAAAATATATTACTTTTTGAGTGAAAATTAATAATCACCAAAATCAGAACCATATGACAGAAAACTAATTGTATGTTATTACTCTTTTGAAAAGACTACATAATTTATTTATTAGGATCAAGGAGGATTAACTCACTACAAATGGGTAGGAAAAATAGAGAGCGCTATGTGCATTTTAAGAACTTACTACACTTACACTGTATTCAGAGTTTTTTATGATTCCAAGTTCTACACTTTCAATACAAGTATGAGAGTGTTGCAAATCTTAGATGCATCATTAGGTATTCTCTATGATCTAACATGTGCTGCTGGTACAAAAGTGTTATCCAATAAAAATCTAATGCATGATTTGAAATTCAGATACACTTTTAATGTAATCATATACAGTATACATATTTTGAAATATTTACACAAATACTTGAACAATGTTTGTTTTGTTATGTTATCTTGGTAATTTGTTTTCTTTTTTATTTATTTTGTCCAAAGCACCAGTGGTTTTGTTTTAAGAACCATAATCAAGTTCAACCAATGGTATTATTATAAAAATAATAACCCTTTTGTTTTAATATTAATATATTTTAAGCACCACTTAAAAGTAGGAAAACATTGATGAAACAATTTTATCTTAAAAATGTTTGAATAATAAAAACATGCAGATATTATATAGCAATAAAATGTATAAATTATTTTTGAGTGAAAAAAGAAAATCATTAAATAATAGAAGACTATTATTTTATCAAATTCATTCTGGAAGCTAAGGAAAAACCCATTTCTTCTGAGCATTGTAGAGAAAAGACTGTCGGTTAGCATGGTGAGTGGGTCTGTAACTTGCTGGAGGAAGAAAAAAAAAAGAAAATAATGTAAATAATACTATTAAATAAAGAACAAATTAAAAATCATTCTCTGGTTCTCAACTATGGAATACTTTACAATCACATTTAAAATGTACTCTCAAATAATAACATTTCCTACTCAAGCTAAATATTATTGTTACAGATTTTGAATGAATTAGAGAAAAATTAGATATCACATGAAAAACAAAGGATATTTAATTAATCAAGTAAATGTATCTAATCACATATCTTTAGTATAAAAGCTCAAACATGACTGTTAAACTTCAATTATTTTCTTGTATTTGCAAGAATGATTAAAGAAGTGAGTACTTAGCAATGATTAAAATGGTGTAACTGTTTTGTTAAAGGGATATGACCAATCATTAGCAAATCAGAGAATAGTATAATTAGCCAAAGATTCATTGTATCATTATAATCATAATATACCTGGGCCAGGGTCGTTGGCATTCTTGACATCATCGCCAGTCCATCTACTGGTGTTGGACACAAACATCGAACTTGACATGTAGTGTTTTTCTTCACCATTATAGTTGACCAACTGATAGCTACCAGGGCCTGGGTCTGGCAATGGAGGGGGCAGGGGCATTGCTGGGGCTGAAATACATAAGTAGTGCTTCCTCCTATGCAAAGACAAGAATATATAGTGTAAAACACAGCTACATTATATTTTATATTTATTCAAAAAAGCACTTTAGGCCTCTGACCCGTCATACAAAATAAAACAATTATATACATTTGTTACACAATAGTATAATAACAATAACATTGACAATAATAAACCATAAATGCATCCAACATTTCAAGATACAGTCAAGCTGTACCATTTAATGCACAAATATAACATCAAATTATGTTGGCAACTTACGGCATCAATGTCTTATTAACTGGTTCAGGTGCTTCATGGGGCTTGTAATGTCCGGGTCCTGGGTTCTATCAAAAGGCAAGGAAATAATATTTCAAAAACATAAACTGGGTTATAGTGATGGTTCATTACAACTACAGACAAGAGAGGGCAGCATACTGCATATATCATTATGATTAACAATCAGCAAAGGAGGAAGGATGGTGGGCCGGCTCATACAAATGGCACTGATGATCAATGCTTTATTCACTGCTTGTAAAGTAAGTAAACTTATTCTGATTCTCTAAGATAGGTAAGTCTATTTTTAGATTGGAAATAGCATATATCCTTTCATGTCATCAATCTCTAATAAGGTCTACTACTGATGGCTAAGGACACATGTTAGTGTACAGCAATACCAACTCCCTGGTAACACTTACTGCAGATGGAGAGCTGTTCATCTTTCTGATGGTTGTGGACTTGAAGCAGCTGTTTGGAGCACGAACCGAATCATGCAATAAACTGTCATTTACATTGTACTGATCTGTAAAATAGGAACCAGTTTTCAAATAGTGTAATAACAATTTTAACAAATATTTAACAATAACAGATATTCAACATACTGAAGTTAATTTTTAAAGATCTATTTTGGTGAGAATACGAAAGAACTCTTTTAATTTTAAGCATTGCATTGTTTATTTACAAGTAACTTAAATCACCAACTTCCAATGAGGTACAGTTTAAAACCATTTAGTTTTTACTTAATGCCATAAGGTATTTTCTCTCCCAATGCGTGCATTATACGCACGGAAGAAAAGTACTACCAAAAATTGACTATTGCATTCATGGCTACATGAACCATATGTAAACTGTCTATTTAGCTTTCTTAGTAGACTACCCTAAATCATAATTGATATTTTGAAGTGGAAACACAAACAGGTTAAGATAAAAAATAAAACATTAAATAGAAGACCAAGGCCTATCAACATTGTTTATACTTTTCTCGGTGTTCGATGATTGGCACTACCCACACCACTACGAGAAGTAGAACTCATCATATACAAACTACATAGATTCCAGACATTTGATTGATTAACACTCTGACTGCCAGGGGTTTGAAAAAATAGTATCAGCCACCGCCAGACTTTTTAGCAAATTTGAACAATTTTTCGAAGCTCGTTGAGAGTGCGTATGTGATCAGATTGACGTTTAGTGAATACTACAAGGACTACAAATATTTTAGCCTTACAATGGTACCAAACACTTTATTCTAATCACAATCTGTGACCTGTAACATTAAAATGAAAATGACTCACTTTTGGAGATTTACGCAATTTCGCACAAGGAACCTGAGATATTCACGATTTCGTGAAAGTAAAGCAATACTGCTCTACGCTAATGTAACAAACAAATACTGAAATACTTACGGTCCAGACTGGATATAGTGTTCAAATTGTTAGTACATGTCAGTAATTACCCTATCTATCGGATTCCGTTAAAAACCTGAAACATGGAGATCTCCGTGTTTGGCGGTCAAGCGTTGCGTTACCAAACATGAAGATCTCTGTGTTTGGCGGGCAGAGTGTTAAAAGCAGGGCAATAATTCCAGTCATACCCTCTAATGCCTACAATCTATGTAGTGGTATATATAACAAATATTTAATGGGTTTTAACTAGGTCATAGTTCAAAATTTAGCCCTTCGTGATCTGGAGGCTGTACAGTACTATGTCCTGAGACGAAGTTATTTTGAACTATGCCCCTCAACCCAGTAAATATTTGTATACTATTTCACTTCAAACCATGTTGTGTTTAACATACTTGGGCCTGGGAAGTCGCCAGCTGGTTTGTAGTAATCAACCCTCTTTGATGTAGACCGGAATGATGCTTGCACCTGGCTTCCATAGTGTTTCTTGTTATTTTGATTTGAGATCTAAGAAAAAATCAAATGATCAGTAATTGAATCAAATTGATTCAATCAAATTAAATCAATCAACTTGATCATTTTGTTGATAACATAGAAAAAGTAACATTTGTTTTTCTTCAATTTTATAATTTAGAACACAAAGTTTGGCTCACTTGTACCGTGCAATACTAAGTAATAGAACCCCAAGCTTATCATGTGGGTTAAGTTACTGTTTTGTTATGTTCAGCAAATAAATGCACAAGAGAGCAACATTGCCTTCAGGTTGGTGGGAGGCATCCCTGGTTATCTACCTTACACCATTTATTGCTAATTTGTAGAATTAAAAAATAAAAATCCTTAATTTCATGTCCTGTCGATTACTATTGTGACTCAAGGGAACAGCCAAGACAAATAATAATAATATTAATAATAAGAATAATAATAATAATAATAATAATAATAATAATGATAATAATGACAATAATAACAATAAAAAAATAACAACAACAATGATGATGATATCAATATTAATATCAAGTTAAACTTACATCATATTTATTTGGTGCAGGGTTTGAAGATGCTTTATCTTCTGTGGGGACTGCTATGCGTTTCTGAAAGCTACTAGTGGTGACAGTTTTGTTGAAGTCATTCCTGGTAGACAGCAGGCTAGGCAAGGAGTAAGCAGCTGCTCCTGGTCCTGGTGTGCCCTTGTGCCGAACGTTGCGCTGTGTCTACATAGAATAAAGAAATCATACTATTTGGTTGCATTACTGATGAGAATTTGCATTGAATTGCGGGTAGCTACAGTCTTATTGCTCTATGTGGATGTCATAATAATTAAGCAACGTTTACCTTTGACACAAAACCAACTCCATAACCTTTCTTAGAATATGAGGATTTATCAGATGTTGCCTGACCATGGCCTACATAGGATCCTGGACCAGGATTTTCATTCTGAAAATAAAGGATGAAACTGTCAAAAGTTAAAAACCATCTTTTAAATTTGATCAACAAGTTTGTTAACAGTACAGAAAAACAATATGTAATATACCTCCATGGTAATACACACACTAATAAATATATACTGTCACTACTGTAATTATATACTGTAGTTGGAAGGCAATAAAAACATACAGATAAATACTAAAACAAAACTACCACAAAAAAATATTCAATAATTAGTTAAATAATTCAGTGTGTACAGTACATAAAAAAATTGGGCAAGAGCTAGAGATAGATGGATGATACAAAGATGGTTACAAACAGCAGTTAGTAAAAAAGGCTGATAACTTTGGTATTATTTTATGTCAGCTTAATAAGAAAAGGTTGTTCCGTATATTCTTGCATATATAATAAACGAATTTTGTATGTTGTTCACCCTCCCTAAATCTGCCCCTAGAGGAAAATAATCAGAGACAAAACAACCTGGAGTTGAGGACGGCAGGAGTGATATGAATAGAGAATATTAAATGTCACAAGCTAACAGAGGGTGAAAAGTCTGATTAAACTTGAACAAGATTTTTCTTACAACTCATCAACTTACTATATCTCTGCCGTGGCCAAACCTCTTGGACTGTGATCCAAAACCTTTTCTGTCATGGTTTGGGATTACAATTGTCTGATATTTACTTGGAATTGAAGATGATGCAGCAGTGACTCCAGAACCTACATAAAAAAAACACATATATAATATACAGTTTTATTAATTGTTATATAAAAATATATTTAAATGTTAACATTTTGCTAGAAAATGTTTTATGTATTTAATAATACGCTGTGGCTAGAGATACGGTACCGTATTTCTACTTCCATTTGCTAAAGGTACAGTAAATGGCATTACGTCACTATCACCCAATGAAGTGCCAAAATGTGTGTGATGTCATATTTCAAGACCGCCATTGGCATTGCAGATCGCCCACAGTGTGAGCGGTGTGACTAGCGAACAATGTACAGTACTGGATTAGCACATGATTAGCTAGGCAAAGAGTACAGTATTTTTCTTATAATACTGTCATCAATAAGGCTATATATAGAAAACTGACATGACTCTTACTGAGTGGAACCATACACCTATTTATCAATGACAGTACTAAGTAACAACCAAAATCTGATCCTGGTGTCTTGATTTTGGTGACCCTGATTATTGATATATTTTGCTATTTTAGAAGTTCTATACGTGATTGTTGATTATTTTTGTAAAGGATCTGCTAGGCCTGAAACCATTTAAAACCATTGTATTTTTACTGGACTTGAAAGGCTCCTAGCCCTGCACCAAATGGATTCTGGCCGAAGCCTAGCCCGCCGCCTGGAGTTACGATTTGCTGTGGTGGGCTGGAGCTTGGAGTTTCAATCTGTTTGCTGGTTAGTACCACCAGTACGGAAATATTGATCTAAGCTTAGAAAGCAAAAGGTATGGCCTCTCCTGTTAGACCACCTTGATCAAGCATATTTCTTAAGATAATGCCTGCTTTTCTGCTAATTTTATTTATGCTGTTGTTTTTCCGGAGGCCAACTTCCAACATTTACCCGGATGACAGCGTGATGTGTAACCACAAGCCATCCTCAAAAGCAACAGTCTACGTTACAGTGTCACGGTGTTTCTCTGGTCGGTCAGTGAGTTACTACTCAAATTATTCATGCTGTGCATCGTTCCAACCAAAACTGACTCAATTTGGAGATGTCAAAATAAACCCTGGCCCACCACTACAAACAAACTAGAAGGTCTGTGGACAAATAGGCGAACAGACTGGTAAGCAACATATCTCTATGTGTTACCAGAATATTAGAAGTCTAAAAAACAAAATGGATATTTTGCACTCAAGTATGCAGACATATATGTTAAACAACTTCTACAATGTAGTATCCTTCTCGGAGACTTGGTTGAAGGACTTTGTTCTTGATTCAGAAATTGCAGTCCCCGACTACAAACAATACAGACGTGATAGGCAGGACGGCAGACGCGGAGGAGGTGTTCTTATGTATATCTCAAACTGATTGAATAGTCGTAGACTATTTCATCTGGAAGATGATATTAACAAAATAATATGGGTTGAAGTGATTATATCTCGATCATCGAAATTACTTGTTGCTACTTACTATCGCCCACCAAATCTTACATGGGACTCTGTCGCACATTTTGTTGGAGCCTTGGAGTCTTCCATGAGGTCCTATCCTGATCATAATCTCTTGATTGTGGGAGATTTCAATTTCATGGACATACTTTGGTGTCCCGATGGTACATATAAAGCACCAGCAAACTCCATATTTGAACTGTTTACGGACAATGTTCTAGATGGACATAACCTCAAACAATGTAACTTAAATGTTACTTGTCATAATAAAATCCTGGATTTAGCACTGTGTAACAATGATGATTTGGTAAATGAGATCATAAAAAACTGGCCATAATGTTTTTCATTCTGACCATATATCGATTTGTAAATCAATTTACCAGATACCAATTCAACTACAGAAAAGCAAATTTCGAAGAAATAAATGAAAAATTTAAGTGGATTCCTTGGGATGTTCTATTAGGTTTTAGTGACAATGTCAACGATAGGCTTGACATATTTTATGATGTTGTTTATGCTACTGTTAGAGATCTTTTCCCAGTTGTAAAAGTTAAAAAGAAAAGACCTCCTTGGTTAGATAGACAATTAGTAGCCGCTTTTAAAGATAAATAGCATTTTCATAATGTCTGGAAGAAGTTTCCTTCTGTCATTAGCCGGCAAAATTTCTGCATTGCGAGAACATATTTTAAAAAATTAATGAAGAATAAGTACAAAGCTTACCTAACATCATTGTCGTCAGATATAACTACAAACCCCAAAAGATTCTGGTCATGGTTAAAAAATAAGAGAGTATTAAAATTCACTTCTTCCACCATAACCAATGATGCCAATGAGGTAGCAGAGACTCCTCATGCCAAAGCTAGTATGTTTAATAACTATTTTGTTTCCAATTTTTCAGACTTCAGGGATGCTGAACCGGCGGTGCATCAATGTCTTCCTGAAGTAAACGCTGGTGTCCTGAATAACATACTGTATTCAGCAGGAGGAAGTTGACCAGATCTTGAAGTCGCTCGACGTTCACAAGGCCGCGGGAAATGATCCTACAGTATTAGTAACCAAATTCTTAAGTTCTGTTCAGCTTCTTTATCTTTTCCGATCACCCATATATTCCAAATTTCATTACAAACCAGTGTTTTTCCAGAAACATGGTAAACCGCCAACGTTGTCCCTATACACATATCAAACTCAAGATCAAAAGTTAACCATTATAGACCCATTTCACTACTCCCAACCATATCGAAAGTATTTGTGCGTCTGGTCCACAAGCAACTCTTAAACCACATTCATCCTTTTATTGCTACTGAAGAACATGGCTTTATATCCGGTAGATCATGTGAGACAAATTTGGCTACACTTATGTCTACCGTATGTGAAGCCATAGAAAATAAAAAGCAATGTGATATCGTTTATACTGATTTCACTAAAGCTTTCGATAGAATACCTCACAATCTTCTTTTATTTAAACTTCATCAATTTGGAATTTATGGTAATCTTCATACCTGGTTTAAGAGTTACTTGTATTGGAGACTCCAGAGAGTGGTATTTGAGGGGTCTGAATCTAGTCTCCTCCCTGTTCTCTCTGGAGTCCCCCAGGGCTCCATACTGGGCCCAATCTTATTTAACATTTACATTAATGAAATCCCACGGCTTTTCTTAAATTCCCAGTGCCTTACTTTCGCCGACGACCTCAAGATCTACAAAATCATCAAAACTCAGGCGGACTCGAGCACGCTTCAGGAGGACATTGATTGTCTCCTCCAATGGACCACCATTTGGAAACTGTCCCTGAAGCCTGAAAAATGTAAAATTTTGTCATGTTCCTTAAAGAAAAATCTTATAATATATGATTATAAAATTGATAGTAACATTTTAGAAAGGGTAAAAGCACATTGTGATCTTGGTGTCCACATTGATGGAAACTTAACCTTTTCCACCCATGTGGACACCATTGTTAAAAAAGCAAACCCACTGCTTGGACTAATGTGGAAAAAATTGCAAACTTCTTAACCATCAGCAAAATTTACTCTATATACATCAATAATTACTCCATCCCTTGATTTCTGTTCAGTTATCTACAACTCAATATCTCATACTCATTCTACTAGAATAGACCGGATTCATAACAAATTTATGAAGTTCATTGGCCCAGCTGCCAGTTCGCTTAGAATTGCGAAAAATTTTTACCATCAACTAGACGAAAACGAAACGATCTTATTTTTCTATTTAAATGTTTAAACTGTAAGTTTGATTGTAACCTTGTGTCGAATTTTTATTTTCATGTTCCTGTTCGTAGGCTTCGTACCAATCATTTGTTAAAAGTTCCGTACTCTTGTGTTAATGTTTGTACTAATGGTATTTTTCGTCGTGTTGCACTTTCTTATAATAATCTAGTTCAAATTTTTCCTAATATTTATATTTTTAATTGTAATATTTCTATTTTTAACCTTATACTAAATACCGGTTTTTAATATATTAGGATTTTTTTTATGCTTTTTATGTATTTTTAAAATCATATATTTTTTTATGAATAGCATTGTATATTTTTATGGCGACTCTGTTATTGGTGTTTTTGATACACTGTTGAGTCTTGAATAAATAAATAAATAAATAAAATAAATAAATTATTGTACTTTTTGATGTTCTAATTACCCAGTACATTAAATCTTTTGCGTTTCACCGCTCATCGTCATGAGTGTCTTTATCTGCAATGCCAGTCTTGAAAGATGACGTCACACACATTCTGGCACTTTATTGGGTGATGGTGACGTACTGCCATTTACCGTACCTTTAGCAAATGGAAGTAGAGATACGGTACCGTATCTCTAGCCATGGCATTAATAATATGATTTACTTAGTTAATTAATCAGTCTTTTTTACACCACAATTTATAATTTAACACAAAGTTAATAATTGGTGAAAAGGGATAAGTTATAGTATTATTAATTATTCGATCATTATTTGTAAAGCACAAAACCAAATATCCATTAAAACAGATCATAATATAGGCCCTAGAGGTGCATATATATATATATATATAGTTAATCAATCAGTCTTTTTTTACTCCACAATTTAATACAAAGTTAATAATATTGGTGAAAAGAGAGAAAGCGGCTATACAACAACTAAAAGGGTCATCCCCGGCCGGCACAGAGCAGCCAGCTCAAATTTTCAAATTGCTCACACAAATTGTGGTCGAGTTACGGTGTGCATAGCATGCTTACCTTGTTGGGTATTCCTTACCTTTATGAATCTTCCCAGACCGTACCTGACCTGAGCACCTTCGGTAATTTTGGTCCAGGATCTGGACGCTGTCTGCCATCAGGCTGCCTTCGGGTTTGGACCTAAGATAGGCTAGGCCAGCTACCGATACCACCACTGCAGCAGGCCTCCTCCTTGCTTGCTTGCAATGCTACACGTACGATCACTTTACAGTTTAGCCTAGGCCTAGCCTAGACGTAGCGTAGGCAAAAAACGAAGCTACCTACGAACGAGTACGACTAGCCTAGGCCTACGTACTCGGGAATCTGGATGGATCGCGAATAGCCGAGCTCTAAGTCCTTGATGCACAGAAACACACCCCGTACATAAATAATACTTCTGTTATATAAATTCTATTGAATGTTTATATACATTTTGCCGATTGATAATGTTTATAATAATCACGCCGAACCTTGTGTAAAAGTTCCATGTTTCTAGGCAACAACATCGTTTATGTAAGTGCGCCATCATCGGTTTAGCATGGACTGTTTGTTCGGAGTTGAGAGAGAGAGAGGGTTTTTTAAAAATTATTATTATGATTAGACCATGGACCTATTATTTTTAATAGGTTCATGATGAGACCGATCTTTCGACATCATATTATAGTAAATAAAAATACTGTACATCATTTTTGTAAAAACTATTTAATCGATCAATCAATCGATCAATGAACTTTCCGTAATCAATTACAAATAATATATTAAAAACTTGTTGTACGGTATATCGTATGGATCAATTTAACAGGCCTATTATCATAAAAACAAGATTAAATGATTAATAGGAAAAGTAAAATGTTAAAGGCGGTTTTTAAAAAGAGCCTAAAACGACCGGGGCCGACTCTGACATAAACTCAAAGAAATTGAAAAGGTAAAATAGTCAAAACACACCCCAATCACGGAAAATTAAAGACCGTCACAGTTTATGCTAGAGCGGGCATAGCCAGGGGCGGATCCAGAATTCCAGGGGGGAATGGGAACAACATATTCATGATAGATAAGCGAGAGCGCTATTTTAAAATATAGGCCTATGCCTTGAAATTTTAAAATTTAGTGGCAAAACAGGGGGAACGTGCCCCCGTGCCCACCTACTGGATTATTGGTCCTGGTGGGTAGTTGTAAAGCCGACCGTACCTCTTTAGGACTCCAAAAGTGTAGGAGTAAAACAGGAGGGGTGGAAATAGAAGGATAGGAAAGGTCCACCACCGCAGCTTAATAACCGTATTTAACTACGACATCCCTGGGAGCGAAAATGTCTTCATTAACTCTAATTAAACTCTTGTAGAACTATAACTAGGCCTCAAGGCATTTGCCAGGAAAGAGGAGAGGGAGGGGGACAGGCGCGGATACAGCGGTTCAGTGGCGATCCAGCAGTGGGCGAAAGGAGAGCTCTAATTCACTAACCAATTCACTGAGGTGGGCATGGCGGCGTGAACTTCATATTGTGCCCCCCCATCAGAAAATCTCTGGATCCGCCCCTGTATGATGATGTCTTTTACTAAGAGGGCATTTCCGGCCAGATCTGTTTTGAAAGTTAAGGGGGAATTCGTGAGACCACACCCAGGCCTACCATGGTTGGGGCAGAGATGCGAAAATTTGAGGAAAGTACCTCTAGATCGCCGGAAATGACCCTCTTATAATATAGTAAAATTCATCATTATCACATCACCATTATTTCTCATAATCTTTAGTACAGCGATTTTGGGCAACCATGGAGATCCAATTAACATAGGCCTATGATGTACATAGAAAATAAAACTTAAAGCGATTGTCCTTGATGTAAATACTTTACTTTACCTTCAGAGTCGTGGGTCCACACCCACCTCAGCCCCAACATGATTGAGGCTGAGGTGTGAAAATTTGAAGAAATAAACGGTACCGCAAGCTGGCCGGAAATGCTCTCTTAGTAAAAGACATCATCATACAGGGGCGGATCCAGAGATTTTCTAATAATCAAGTTCTCCTTTCGCCCACTGCTGTATCGCCACTAAACTCATGGGTGCACTCCTTTTTTAGCTCTCCCTCTCTTTAACTCAAATTTGTCACCTTTTTTTATTTTTCGGCTTTACTGACCGGGGGGGGGGGGGACGGCCCTCATCCCCCTCCCCCGGCTGGATCCGCCCCTGTCATAACATCACCATGATTTTTTAGCAGCGATTTTCGACTATCATGAGATCTAATAATTCTGTATTGTACCAAAAATAAAACTTATTTGTTTTTGATGTATTTACTTTACTTTACCTACTTCGTGTACCCAAAATCTTATACGTTTTCTCATACTTCTCAAATTATAACAAAGTCACGTTAGTCATATCGGTATCTTGCTATCAGATGTACAGTACTGTACTCATTATGCAGACCAATGTGTTTTTTCGCTTAAAGCTGGGTAATATGCAATTCATTTCAACGACGTTTAGGCATCATCTTTACTTATGAAATTACACTGCGGTCAAACCGTGGGGGAACCAACCGGTCAAACCGTGGGGGAACCAACCCCCCCCCCCTTAAAATTATGTGGGGGACTTGTCTCCCGTCCCCCTCCATGATGTGCGCCCATGCTGGGGTGAAGTGAGTGTGGACTCAAAGAGACTTTTTTTTGAAAAATCCCTCACCCCCATGAAATCCTGCATACTGGCTTGTAATGTGCTGTAGGCCTAATCTGATGATTAGAGATCAAACACTGCAATGGTAGTAGGCCTACGTGCTTTTAAGATTTTGTTTAAATAGGGGCCCATGACTTGACACATTTCGAGCGTCACCGCACACAGCTGTGCTCTTCTTCACCAGCACTTTCCATCGAAATCATATTTAACTAGATGTTAGTTGTCAGTGTTTTCTTGTTTGTATCTGCCCTTTTAAAAAATTTCTTTTCATGTACTACTACTTTTACTAAAATAATGCTTTAATAAAACCTTAATATAGAATCTTGGATATTAAATAAATAATTCATATTATATGCATTGTTAGTTATACTGCATGCAAAGTAAGCAGATCATAATCAGGCAAACACGTTATAATGGAAGGTTATTTTTAGAACCTCAGTGTAATAGTTGACCAGCATCCTGACAAAAGCTGACCTTCTGGATAGCGTCCTGTGCTTTGAAACGGGATGCACCAAGTCAACGAAATATTGATTAATTAAGGGGCTTATTGCAGTACAGCCTACCATCTCGAGAATACAATACGGGCTCAGTACAGTGTTGTCTCAAGCATAATTAATTGAGCGCGGGAAGACCAGTGAATTGTCAGCCTATTGTTGTTCATGAAGTGTGTATTGTCTCCAAATTTAGCGGGTTTTGAGCATGGAATCCATGTTTTGAGTAAATAATCGCAGTTGAGATCTGTAGAGAAACTTTTAATATTTGTCGAAGGAGATTGATCAATCCAATTTCATTTGATCTCGTACCATTCATGTTCCACGGTATTGCTCGTTTGTACAATATTTTTCTTCTTTTAGTTTACCAGATGGTCAATTTTGCTAATAATTATCTAATACTGAGGATTTTTTTTAAAAGGTCTTAATTCTATTGGTATTTTAAAATTTATTATTAAATCATAATGATAATATGAATCCCAATGCTGTATCTTCCAATTTGGAGTTTGTTTCATCTTAAGGGGGCAGGGGAGTAAGGAAGAAATTCAGTTTCACGAGTGTACAAATAAATCCCTTTCTACCACCTCCCTCTTTACAAAAAAAAAGTTTACACTCAAAACGTTTTAATTTTATGAACAATGTAACAATATTCTCAGTATCTCAAGTCTTTATGAACATAAGTTATGCAATATAATTTGAAATAAGCATTTTCAAAAATTGCATGTCCCTTTCCCTAGTGTAACACTCCTGTAATAATTGATAAAATTAGGCCTATCAGTTGATGTCGATCCTACTGGCTCTGTAATTTTACGTAAGAACTTATCAAATACAGGCAGTAAACAAAGGATATCGTCAGATCATGGTCAGATCGTATTTCGCGCGGATTTAAAAACCGCAGAGCTGAGAGAGGGAGTGACCCTGGTACTCGGCATGTTCCATTATAATGGTTGCTATAATTACAGAAATTTGTGATACTTTTCGATAAAAACAGTACACGATTCAAATTGAACGTATGTCTAAGAATATTTAAGAAAGAAATAATTTTTAAATTTTGTTTAAAACCCGTGAATGATATGCGTTAAAATGTGCATAATCTTTTTATTTTGGAACGTCCATTATATTCCAACCAATCGCGTCTCTAGAGTTTGGCGTATCTGATTGGTCACATTTCTCCCATTGGCTGGGTTACACACAAAGGCGGCAGATTTCGATTTCTCACAATTTGCGGGAAAATTCAATTCATCTGGGCCTTTTCCTCACTGCAGATCAGACGTATCAGAGTAACTCTCGCCACATTCACATATCACAGTTCCCCTACTGCTTTGAAAATTAAACTTCTAGATCCTCTCTTTCAAGATGATGTCAAGCTACTCTCCACGCAAAACTAAGAACATTATCAATGCAATGGAATCTGTAAAGATTGGTGATGAAAACAAGGAAAACAAGAACAAGGATAAGGTAAGTTTGTTGGACAGAAGAATACCTAGGGCCTAGAGTAGAGGGATCGGATTCTATTGAACAAATTAACCTAGGCCTAGGCCCTAGGCCTTACTAGCCTAGTCCTCTTGCGTTCTGCTTATTCTAAATGTTAGTTGTACTAAGCCTACTACTTAGCCTAGGCCTATATGGCCGCTGTGTCTCCCCTATACTATAGGTAGGCTTTAGCCTAACCCATGGCCCAGCAGAAAACATATTCGTAACGCCCATTTTTATTTCAGTAACTGGCGTAATGCTTTGCTGTCACTAATTTTCAATTAAAACATTTAATTTCAGGTTATTTCCCAGACAAAGCAAGTTAAGAGAATCCTTGGAGATAGCCAAACACCGGTAAGTTTAATCAGTTCGGTCAGCTGGTTGGTTCTATTGTATTATTTCAGGTCCGTTGCAGCTCGTTGTTAACGGAAACTTAAGTTGACAAAGAAAATGCGCGAAACGTCCATTCAGGACTTCGAATGATGATCAATGAATGGGCATTGACTTTATGCAATAATTAATATTCATGAGGTTTAAAGATAGATACCAGCCGCAAAACTGTTTGTGTACTGCTTTTTTGACGAACTGTACTAGGCCTAGCAAAAACACTACATATAGTATTAATAAAATGTTTCATCTATTTTCAGAATATTAGGAAATCTGATGACAGAAATGTAATAAAAAAGGTTAGTTGATCCAGCTTTGTTATATTTATCACACTATTTGTCGTAAAATAACAAAAAACAGATTTTTTAATTATGTTTTAAATTTATAATATAAAATAATTTCTATTTGATTCTGAGTAAATTTTTAATTTCCTTTTTTATATAGAAAATTGAACTTAGCGAGACTAACGAGGAAGAGATTGATATACAGGTATGACATTTTAATTGATGAATTTTCAAGGCAAATAAAAAAATAGTTTCTTCTGCCTTTTCTCCTTTTGCTAGATTTTTTTTGTTGCTATTCTCGGTTCCTAAATATATTATTTTGTAATATAAATAATAGAAATGATCAGGAAGTCAAAGATGTCAAGGGAGCTCAAAATAAGAAGAAAAAATGATTTTTAATAAATGAGCTAGTAACAGTGAAAAGATCAAACTTGTTAGTGACCTTCTTAACTGGTTTTGGATAAGCTGCCCCTTCATTGTTTTTCATTAGATTAGACAGGATACTATATTTTAACTTGGTGTTATATTTGTTATAAAATAGATTAAACAACCAATGTTTGTGACTTCATATATACTGTATAGGTGAAAAAGATGTTTTTCAACATCTGTCCATTGTTTTCCATGGCGTCTTGAAAATAAATGTAGTGGTATTTTCATATGTTCCTTTACAGCATTTCTCATAATTAAATATTACATTAGGAAGCTTTGGAAATTATGAAATGTACATGAAACTTCCTTCATTTTTGGCTTCAATAATTTTAAAATAAATTTATTTGTTTTTTTATTTTCTTTATTTTTCATTTTATTGAAAATAATTATATCCTGAGAACAAAAAATAATAATATAGGTATTAACTTTTATTGTTAAATTTTCCTGATGTATTTTTCCCCTCAGGATGAACCCCTTCTACGAGACAACCCAAGGCGCTTTGTAATCCTTCCCATCCAATACCCAGATATCTGGAAAATGTACAAGAAAGCTGAAGCCTCATTCTGGACCGTAGAAGAAGTTGACTTGTCCAAGGACCTCGTTCATTGGGAGTCGCTAAAGGATGGTGAGAAGCACTTCATCTCTCATGTCCTGGCCTTCTTTGCAGCTAGTGACGGCATTGTCAATGAAAACTTGGTGGAGAGGTTTATGCAGGAGGTTCAAGTGACAGAGGCAAGGTGTTTCTATGGTTTCCAGATCGCAATTGAAAACATTCACTCTGAGATGTACAGTCTACTCATTGATACATACATCAAGGATATAAATCAGAGGTAAGCACATGCTTAAATTGCAAAAATTAAGAACATTTGAAAATTTCAACAACTGACAGTTCCCTATACAGTATTTAAAATACTGTAATTTCTTTTTATATCAGTGTGGGTTGCAGCAATGAACAAGGAACTTAAAAATGTAAATACATCTACAGTACTGTATATATATAAGAGTCATGGTAACGATTAGCGTACGTAATGTCTACCCAAAACGAAACGGCGTAGCAGATGATGTTAATTGCGGACTTCATCTTTTGAGATTGTGTTGTGTAGTAAATCAAACAAATCTTAATCTTTTAATATAATTCATTTCAGGGAACATCTCTTTAATGCAATTGAGACGCTACCATGTGTCAAGAAGAAGGCTGACTGGGCCTTGAACTGGATCAACCATGAAAACGCCAGCTTTGCAGAGCGTATTATTGCATTTGCAGCTGTAGAAGGCATCTTCTTCTCAGGTTCTTTTGCAGCAATATTCTGGCTCAAAAAACGAGGACTCATGCCCGGCCTTACTTTCTCAAATGAACTCATCAGCAGGGATGAGGTTTGTAATTTGCATACACCTATACAGTAGTATTAAACAATTTAGTTAACAGTTCAGATTGAAAAACATTAAACAAAAGCTGGGTGGAGGCAGATATGTCATCGGTTAAAAGTGAATTATCTACCTGTTTCATTACAAGCACTGCTTTTAATTGTACATGCCACTAGTACAGTTTGTAGTAAGTCAAGTGAAAAAAAAAAACAATTGCATTTTTTAACCTGTAGAATTTCTCAAATTTGCTTTTTGTTTTAAAGATGTTTAATAGCATATTTGCCACAAATTTAATTATGAAAATTGATTTGTTTTGCAGGGCTTGCATTGTGATTTTGCCTGTCTGCTATTCAAGCATCTTAAGCAGAAACCATCTCAAGCGCGCGTCTATGAAATCATCAAGGATGCTGTAGCCATTGAGCAGGAGTTCCTGACAGAGGCCCTCCCCGTCTCCCTTATTGGTATGAATGCCACCCTCATGAAGAGATATATTGAATTTGTTGCTGACAGACTCCTGTTGGAACTTGGGTGCAATAAGGTATACACAGTAATTCTTAATTTAAATTCCCAGTATTGGGAATGTGTCTATCAAATCACCTGAAAAGAGGCATCATTTTACCCTTATATATACATAAAAGTTTGCTAAGGTGTATACAATATTTCTTACAGTACCAAATTCATAAAAATCATTCATTTCCTACCAATATATTTATAGGAAGGCACTGGCAATTAATACACCAATCTTAAACCACATTTTAAACTTTTTAACTACAAACATCTTAATTTAATGGAATGCCCACTATGTGTTCCTATGTTGATTGGAAGCAGCAGATATTGTTACACCAATTTTAAAACAAATTCATAATTCATTTGGATGTATGGATTCAATTGGATTATGACAATGACATTAAATATCAGAAATTTAAATCAGCATAAACTCACTGTTACCTTATTTGATTGTTTTATATGCAAACTTCATAATTTTAATTGCGTTTTTTACAGATCTGGAAATCAGAGAATCCATTTGATTTCATGGAGAACATCTCCCTAGAAGGCAAAACAAACTTCTTTGAAAAGCGAGTTGGTGAATATCAAAAGATGGGTGTGATGAACAACCAAGCACACAAGTTCAGCCTAGATGAGGACTTCTAAAAATAAATAATAGCAATATCTTGTGGTTCCCAGTACTTGAAAACAAATATCATCTAACATAATATTCAAACTAAGCATTTAAATTGTTTTATAAAACAGAATGCCGACCGTCCCAAAGGATTTTCTGTATTAATGATATTTTTAATGAAATAATTTTTAAAGATTCAAGTAGTAATTCTTAATTTTTAATATTATGCTTTTTTAAAATAAATACTAGCTAAACATGTAATTTGGCAGTAATTTTTTCTTGGAAAAACTAAAAAAGTATTCTTTAAAAAAAAAAAGTAAAAATATCATACATACTAAACTGGTTATACAGTACAGTACTTTATATTTCATACTATTTTTAATATCAACATTTTTATAGCAAAGGCGTAAATAATTATGCTATAATAATGCTGATTTTTTTTTATATTCATTCATTTTGTATGTTAGTATATATTTATGTAATTACTGTAAAGTTATCTGTACATTTTATGAGCAGCTGGGTGAGTTGACAAGACCATACATAAGTTTCAATCAATTAACTAACACATTTAAAACTACTTGTATTTACTGTAAATATACATATGTAACATGATCAATAATGCATTTCCAAAATGGTTAGAGGCCTGATTTTAACTTAGTTGTCTTGTGAGTGTAGTATGAAAAATAAAACAATTATAATATGATAGAATTTTGTGGATTTTTTGGTTGGTAAGCTTATAGTAAAAATTAAGTGAATCAAGGCAGATAGTGAAAGTTTCCCAACCTCGGAGTTTCAATCCCTCGCTGTGCGTTTCGCTTGTGTCCTATATTATTAAAAGAATACACAGTTATACTTATTCAAGTCAAGTCTTATTTTAAGGATCTGCAAGTCAAATTTTATCCGAATCAAACAAATTTTCAATGTCATTTTGGATCAACTTGGTCATGATAATCAACCTGGATTAAAGGCACGAGTGGAATATTCTGGACCTTCTATCTTTGGCGAGACCTAATTTTTTGTATTTCTTTTTATTCAACCATCCTATTTTAACCAATGAAATTTCATTTTTTCCTCCATCTGAATGTTCTTGGCAAAACTATCAGCTAAATAATTATTCCGCCCTTCTGATATTTAAAAAAAATAAGTACTGTATGTGAAACAAGGAATAAAAGTCTCGCCTTAAAACTTGGTTTCCATACAATCGTTACAAGCTATCGCCGAAAGCATAAACTATATTTGTAAATCTTATGTGTACACAAAATGGTAGCAAGAACAATAACAAGCTGAAGGCATATACTGTACTGTAGTACAAGCCCGTAGCCAGAGGTTCAAACTAACCCCCATTTCCAGAAATGCTTTTTTAAATTATTACATGTACAGTGTACTGTATAAAAGTATCATTTGCATGAAAGTTTATGAAACATTTTTATTGCCATTTCCTGACATCTGAGGTATTATACAGTATCTTTACGATTCACCCCAGCCATAGTGAGGATGAGGTGAAGGACTCAAAATGCCCTTTGTGAAAAACCACCACCCTTTAAAAATCCTGCCTACAGGTACACTGAAATGTTTTGATGTATTGTATGTCATTGATGTAAAATATATCAACAAATGGGCCCTGAAAATACAAACAAGACAATGGAATATATTTTCAACAAAGCATTTTTATTTACACTTGCTACAACCATTGAGATACAGTACTGTAAATACAGTACTATTACAGCTACAACCATACCATAACTACTGTACAGTATTTAAATGCTTCCAGATTTGCTTTTTATTGTAGCTTTAAGTACTGTGTACAGCACTGCAAAGTAAAACCACAGTATAATATTGTATTTACAATGGATTATCAAATATTTTGCAACTCTTGTGTTTGGAATACAGTACAATATAATTACTGTACAGTACTTGCATAACTTGTAAATGTTAAAATTTATGAACTGAATCCTACCTTCACAAATTTGAGGTGGGGAACTACCATATGAATTAGCTGAAGCTTGCCACATTAGTTTCAGAATTTGATACTCCTTATTATGGAAGAGGATCAGTGTTTGAAAAGCATGGATGTATGGTTAGGGGGTGGGGAGCATGGGTGCCAATGCACTCTTCCCCCTTACCCCCCCCCCCATGATGGCAAATTAGTTCCACTAAGTGGGTAAAAATGCTAATAACCATTAAGTTTCTGCATTCTCAATTCTCGCACCCACTCCCAGGCCGAAACCAACCTTCTCCCCGAAAAGATTGGTAAGGCACAAATAGTGTTTTTTTTTAAATATCTGATTACCTCTATAATTTATTTACTAGATAATTATTTAAAAAAAGCATTTATATATATATCACTCTACGAAGAATACAATGCCCAAGCAGATAAATATTGCAGAAGTATCATTCACCCTTTGTATCCACCCACCACCAGGATACTTTTAGTGAGCCTAGTATATGGAATGACCCTATCACTGTATGAATTGCTTCTCAATGGTGAAAAAAACCCAAACCTATTAGACACTATACTTCAACAAGGCTTATTGCACATTTTGTATCTTAATAATTTTTATTGAATACAAAAAATTATATGAGTTGCTTTATACTTAAATGAAGAGTTAATAGTTAAATGAAGATTCAACCAGGATTAAGATTGAACTTAGACTAAGCAGTAGTAGATCCAGGAATTCGTAGAAGAGGGGGCCCAGGGGGACTTTCATAGGAGGAAACACCACACCACCTCAGCTTATCATGGTTGGGGCTGAGGCAAGAAAATTTTTGATTATAGCATCGCTAAATGGCCGGAAATGGCACTCAAAATTTGGTCAAAATTTTCTCAATTTTAATAATTTTGAAAAATGAG